GTTAATGATTAGTTTTTTCGTCAATGTCATTATTAATGCATAATTTTCTACAAAAAAAAAAGAATTTGACGTTTGTCAATGCAAAATAAATGGCAACTTAATTCGAATTAGTTTAATTCTGAATCAAGTTTTCATTTCGCTTTCTGTAAACCGGCTCCTAGAGGAATTTATCTTGAAACTATGTCAAGTTTGCAATCCTGATTTATTGACGCGTCATTTTCATTTTGTCCGACTGTACATGACAAATTTCTCATATAATGGTTAACTAAGAGTGAGTATTAAACAGATCATAATCCTTGCAAATGTAGTATAAAAAACTACAATTCACCAAAGAACAAAAGTTAATAATTTTACACAGAAAAGTATACATAAAGAAGCACTTTTAGTGCTGTCAATCTTTTTGAGATCGGAAAATAAAATATGTATGTGGATAAAGTGGATGTAGAAAAGATCTTGACCATGATTTGAATACATAAAACAATGCTGTCGTAAGTAGCAGCCGACATGATTTCATGGTTTCAGTGTAATAATAAAGTAATAACAAATATTAGTTTACATCATCAATCTCGGTTCAAATCTTTTTTTTATTACCTATTTATAAAAAGTTACCATTATTTGGTCTTTGCTTGTATTTAAAAATTCATATTTAACAATATTTTTCCAAATATTATTAACTAGTTTTTCCATTTAAAAAAAAATTGCAATATTCAAGAATTCCTTGAATTGAATCCTACGGACTAGTTCGTCCTACAGTCTGGTTTTATTAACATTAATTCTACCATTCATCATTATCCTATCCCAAAAAATACCAGACCAGAAAGTTTTATTAAATATATTTTTATAAAAATTCCATACTTCTGAAATTAATCGCATATTTCGTTATGAACTTAAATAATTATTTGCCTTGAATGATGTAATCTATGCAAATAAAAAGTTGTAAATGAAGCGTATAGTATTTTTAGTTTAACAAACAGATTAACATAATTTTACAATAAAGTCTACGCAATTATTTGTATGATTTAAAAATTATAACATTCCAAGGTGTTGGTACAGTGATGACGGCAGATTCTGCGAAAATTAAAAGCCCACCTTTCAAGATAAAGATATTCTCTCTAGACTAAAACATCATAGGAATATTTACATCGTTACGAAACAGTTTTATGGTCAACTATGCAATTAAATTTTTATTGGGTTCAATCTAAACACAGTTGTGTATTATTCTTGTATTAAGATTAAAAAATTTCAGTTTCGGAGCCGAATAAAATTGGGTTACTATCAAAATAAATTCGATTTCAAAATGACGTCTGGAAATTCCTCAAGGTGGTTAAAATACTTGGACTTTTTTAGTCGGTCTTCCAATCACGATAAAATTTACTGTTCATGTCCGAATAATGGACGCAGGGTTCATTAAAATAACTATGAAAAAACTAGACGAAATGAGCTTTTGCACAGCCTAAACTTTATTAAGTGAACTTTCAAATTATGAGAATAGGAAGCTTCGATTTAATTACATCAAAGTTGTAAATTTGCGTCCTATGTAATTCGATACACAGACGCTCCCCAGCCGCATAACCCCCCAAATTATGAATTTACTTATGTGGAGTTTTGCAAGTCAATTCGTTAGTTAGCTGTCAAACACCATAAAAGTTTAACAGAATTTCAAATATTTTAGATGCATATAAAAATCAGCTATAAAAAAAATTGTAAAGACTTAAATAATCTTTTTACCCACAGTAATAGTAGCATTTTATGCAATTTGACAAAAAAAGTTTTGTTATATAAAAATTAATGTTAGTTTACATAAGAACAAATAAGTGTAGTGTTCCAATAAAAACAAATGTAAAACAGTCGATTAAGTACATGAAACCTTTTGTATATTGACGTCGATTTTAGGGTGTAATATGTAAACAAAATAAATAAAAATAAAAAGTAGAACATTTGTTTTTGCTATATAAACTAAACTATTTTGTTTCATAGATTTTTCGCATTTACTCCTCCAATTACACATTCGGTGATACAAAAATAAAAATATTTTCCGATAAAGATATAATATTCTCGCCAGGATATCCATATTTTCTTCAAATCTACTGTTTTCTCCAAACTTTAAAACATTTGAATTAAAAAGAACAAAAACGACTGTAATAAATAAGAAAAATTTTATTAACAATCTGTCTTGAAAAACGAAGTTTTAAAATATATTTTTAAAAAATTGCTGAAGAGAACACACAATTAAACACTACAAAAAACCTAGTATTGTTTTCTCGATTTTTCAAACAACAATGATGAAAAATCTATGACTATTTTTGTTGTTCAATCAAATAATCTTTTCTTTTTAAAATTTTAGATTTTAGATAACTGAATTTTATGCAATAACCTTTAATCAATCATAAAATGTTTTTGATGATAAAAAAGTTCACCAACTTTAATTTTAATTAAATCTTGAATTTAGAATTATTTTTTAACTGAAAAAAAACAGTGATTTGAAAATTACAAAAAATTGGTCTTCTCCACATCACAAGAGCTGAAACAGTAACGAAATAAATAAAAGTTGATAATGATAGGGGTATAGCGATGACTAATCCATTCGAATTCCAACCACTTGTAAAATTTGTAACAATTAGAGATTCCCTATCACACCCGCACGTTCAATGAATTAATTACTCATTAATTAGTTAAGTATAAACACTTGACGACTTAAAATATACAGGGTGCGTCAGAACTCCCGCCCAAAATTGTATCTATAAAAATTTCGAAGTTATGAGAATTTACATTTTGACTATTTATTTTGCTTGGAAAAATAATTCTCCAATTTTTTTTGCTTTAGGTTATTAGAAGAGGAAACAGTGATAATAAAGTTCTAGAAAGCTAAAAATCTAAATCAATTTGTAGGTATTTTAAAAAGAGTTATTTTTTAGTAAATATCGTTATTTAAAATAATTTTAAAACAAAAGTTTTCATAACAAAATTTCATAAATAAAGTTGAAACTTATTTGAATTGAAGCCTCATTTATACAGAGTGCGTCAGAACTCGCGCCCTAGACAAATGCCATTGTAAGATAAGATACCAGAAACATGGGAAAAATGTTAAAAAAATTCTGTGTAGAAAAAGTTCGAAGTTTTGAAAATTTCAATTTTGCATTGTGACTCAAAAAATAATTTTCCAACTTTTTTTGTCACAGGCTATTAGAAGAGAAATTGTAACTCTGTTTAATATTATTTTGTGGCTTTTATTGGTAAAATTTTTGTACCTTTACTAAATGAATAATTATAAAAAAAACATATACATACAAGATCACCAGTATCATTAAATAGAGATAAAAAATGTGAAATATCAAAAATTTTTTTTTGGAAATGTTGTTTTTGCGCGCTAATGGTCTTATTTTTCTCACTTTCTCAGTCTTGAATAACTTTTCATGCAGAGAACTGTATCGATATGTCGTCCTCGAAAAGAAAAACGTTTTCTATCAAAGAAAAAATATCAATAATAACAGAGTTCGAAAGTGGTAAAAAACAAGCTGTAATTTGCAAAGAGAAAAATTTAGCCCATTCTACATTAGCAACAATTTTAAAAGATTACGAGTTCAACTGGTGAATTTTCGTCAAAAGTGAAGAAGTACATATTGCTAAAAATGCTAAATTAGATAAAGCCGTTCTTAAATGGTTCAAAGTGAATCGCGAATCCAATGTGCCCATAAGTGGGGCCAAGTTAAAAGAAAAAGCAAAACAATTTGCAGAAAAAATTGGGGATTCTCTAGAGATGAAATTTTTTGTTATTGGGTGCTTCCACCTAACCACGATGTCTTTTATAATAGCCTTGTACAATTGTAAAGTGCAATTGATAAGATAAAAATGCTTCATTACAAAAAACAAAGAAAAATTACAATTTTTTTCTTTAATATTCGTATTTAATAAAATAATAGAGGGGTTCTACTGTATAACGAAATATTTAAATATGCATCTCATAATTCCTTTTGACTTTTCCAGTTCTATGCCCTAGTCACTTTTTTCAAAGGTTATTAAACCAGATACATGTAAAGATTTATGTCAAACAAATTTGTATCTCCGTTATTTTATTTTACTTGGAATGAGAATGATAAATAAGTACATGAGTACGCCCACGACGAAGTATATCGTTTCCGAGTCCATAAATGCATACTGAACTTAAAAAAAAAGCTGAATTAATTTTCTAAATACACTAACTACAATAAATTTTATCTCAATGAAAACAAATGTAGAATGATGTAGAATATTCCGCTGGCATCCTCAATAATTTTTTTCTTGAACAAATAATTTAAATAAATATAACTTGGTCAACTTATCACCCTTTCATGTGCCGTTAACTACAAAACGCTCTAAACACAGGATCATATTTTATGCATGATCTGAGGTAATTTGGTTCATTATTCATACACTATGCAATTATGTGCGCCCTAATACACAATCGAGACTTGATGATATTTGTGACAACCTAATTTTGTAATGCAAAAATTTGTGTTAAATTATACAGGGTGCGCCAGAACTTGCGCCCCAGAGAATTTTTTCAAGTAAAGTGAGATACCAGGAACATTCTATCTGTCAAAAAATTTTGACATTTGACATTTTTTATGTCTATTTAATGATACTGATGATCTTGTGTATGTTTTTTTACAATTATTTAGTAAAGGTACAAAAATTATAACATAACATTGAACAGAGTTACAATTTAGGATACAGCTTCCTTGTTTCCTCTTTTAATAGCCTATAGCAAAAAAAAATTGTTTAATGGGATTTATCTCTGGGCGCGAGTTCTGGCGCAGCCTGTATAATGATTGAAATTTTATTAGCACGTGGTGAGCCGGCAATGCGTTTAATTACCTAAACTGAGACCGATTAAAATATTCGATAGTGCGTTTACCGTGTTTTCAGGTGTCGTTTATCGTGAAATACTCGTATTTCACTCATTACTCGGAATTTCACACGAATTTCCGGCGGTTCGAAAGCGCGACTAAGCAAGAACCCACCTTAGACTCAGCAGACACCTGATATACGGAGTGGTCGAGTATTAGGAAGCAAAAAGTTGCGATGAAGCACAACCACACGAGTCTGGGGGTGTCTTTTCCGAAGGCACCCATGATGGAAATGAAAAGAACAGTACGGCACTCTCACCAACTACTGCGATAAGTCATTGCACTGTGGACGAAGAAGACGTGGCTGGACCAAGATGCTGCTTGTCTGATGTCCGAACACACAAGCCGCACAACACTGAATGCTTGCTTGCTTGCTTGCCGGTGGAACTTTTCAAAACTCTCAAACACATGTGCTGCTGCTGCTTCCCGCTTGCTCTGGCAGCTCTTCATTGGTCGCGCGATGCGCGAGTCGACGACGTCTGGCGTCTGTGTCATCCGATGCTAATGCTGGACTGCTGGTCAGCAACTTCAACACCGACAAAACTTTAACTTTCAGCAACTTTACGGAGGTACAAGTAAGCTGAGGTATGTATTTTTAACTATAATCAGTCTTCATACAAACAGTAATTTCGGTAATTTTGGGAAAAAAAATTTTCAAAATATTTTTCGACGGGTGGCAAAAGCCTGCACATATTGTATACGTTTAAATGTATTTCGCGGAAGAATTTCGTAATTTTAATTAAAAAATTGCTTGTTTCAAACCTTTGGCTGTAGAGTATACTTTGTCATTTATATTAAAGACTTAAGAAAGGGCATAATAAAAAAGTAACCTTGTAAAAAGTACAAATATTATTTGAAAATGTATACATTTCATGTATACATGAATACATCAAACATGGGTAAATCAAGTTTTATACTTATCCCCAAAACATCCCTTTCTAATTGTAAAAAATGTGATTTTTTCGTTAAATGTTTTTTATGCTTTATAAAACAAATAAATTGATAGAACAAGACTTTTTTCCTAATAAGGTCAGATATCAATTAAAAGAAGGTAATTGACTGCGGGAACGATTTGATTCACCCTGTATTATAAAAAAAATGTCTTGTAGTACCTTTAGCAAACTTAAAGAGTCCCTGAAATTTTATTTTTTCTTTCAAATGAAACAACAAATCTTGAAAGGACTTATTTTCTTTTGTTGACGACACTGTTTCACACTTAACAATTTAATTTTTGCTTGATAGCTTTGAATATCTTTCTTTATCACTGGCCATATAGTTTTTAAGTCTTCCTGTTTATAATCCCCAAAATAAATAAGTTGTCTGATATGTTTTCTATAAAGACAATTCATTTACTTGCAAGAAATAATATTTCCGATAATGCTACCGTGTACCTAAGTTTCACCTCTTTATTTGCTGCATCAGGTACAATAATCTGTTGTAAAGCAATTATTGCACCTGTTGCAATACTCAAAAGACTAAAATTTTAAATAATAAAATACTTTTATTAAATTTGAGAAATTAATTGTAAATGAAGATAATATAAAATAATAAAATTTAGTATCCAACAGACTAAATCAAAGGACGATGTGCGTACAACCTTCTTTAAAAACAATAATAATATGTTGAATTTTTCTTGTTTATGTATAAACATCCAATTTCTATTTTTTTTTGTGTTCTCCAACTACTACATTATGTTTTCGTGTCTTTCGTTTTTTGGTAGTCGTTTTTTTTTTAATGAATAGGGTGAAAAATCAAAAACTGACGGTACAACATCATATTTTAGGCAATTTCTACTAAATTGCAAAACTCAGTCATTTGTAATTGCTTGCCACAAATTCACATGCTACTTTAACCGAATGCAAAACGCAAAAACATAGGTAATTAGGTACGCTAAAATTTACGAATTAAAAGAAACACTTCATTTGGTTGCTCTTTGCGAGCATCCATACGCACGATTTTACCATTCTAATAGTTTTTAATCATAATTTATAAAATATCTATATAATATGTATAAAATGTTTTAATTAAAGTTTTTATGAACAAATTCTTTCAGTTTTTAACACAAATAACGACAAAATCCACTACTATGCACTACAATACATATGGGTCTATCAGGTTTCTTGCCACTCCTGACGTGACTTTCTATTGCGTTCTCTCTCGCTCTGTGTTTATAACGCTACCTCTTTGTCATCGCTCCATCCACTCAAGTACTATATCAATGGTTTTAACAATAAAGGTTTAGATTATAAATTAAAATTATGACGTATTCGTATTTTCAGTTTTAAATGTCTTAGTAGTGACAACAAAATTTTGCATTGTATAAAAACTTTTGTGTTTGTATCAAATTTCAGTACAACTTGATAAATTTTTTAAAAATATTTAGATATAGCTATGTCCTTTTTTAGCCATCCTGTATAATATAGACCCGATTTTTAGTACACTGAGAAAAATGAATAGTAACAGCTAAATGATAGATTAGTTTGACTAAGAAAAGTTTAATACTAATCCATGTATGTTCTCAAGCAATAACCAACATTGGAAAATAACATGTCGGGTTTTCCATTAAGTTATTGATTTATTATTATTGAACAAAATATTCTTTACGGTATTGTTATTTAGTATGTAAACTATAGATCGTAATAAATAAGTAATAATTTAATAGTTAATAAATCTATTTAAATTTTTGTTTAGTCAATAATGTATTTTCTTTACATGAACGAATAGTTTAATGGTCATTTGTTTTTTCTGTTGTATTTGTGTTTGTGTTTTGAGGAGTGCAGGAGTACGGTTGACGAAAAGTGCCAAAAGCTGCTGAAGCAGTCCAAAAATTTGAAGGTTAGTATAATGATATTTACAATCGCCAGGTCAGCCACCACCAGAAATTTTTAATTGCAACACGCTATTAAGATAAAAATATTTTTATGAGCAATAGATTCGAGCAGTGGCTGATTTGGACTGTTGCAAACTACATTCTCCATAATGTTATTTCAACTGCAATAATTTCATTTTGTAAATAATGTAGTATGTTGTCGATAAAACCTTTTGTTAAATATTAAGCATTTATATTTAATGTTAAACTGATGGAATCTAACTATCTACTTCTTGGTTTTTCTTATTCAGATGAAGGAATGACATATGATATTTTGCTGGATCTTGTTCAGAGTTTCCTTCCCCAGCTGGTGCCAAAATTTGATAACCAATTCAAATTGATGCGGCATATTAAAGAGTATAAATCTGCATCTTTGGTAAGTTTTTCAATTTTAAAGTCTATTTTTTTAATTTATGAGTGTTAATGCAGTGATTGACGTCCTGGCATCCTCGTCCCCGTGCAGTACTAAATACATAATTCGTACTTAATGATGTTTTAAATGTTTATTATTTTTCTTAATAAATTGTTCTAAATAATATATGTACAGTTTTATTTCTTTGTTAGGTATACTTTTACCTAAAAAATATTTTTCCCTTTAAGATATACTTCTTAACTATCAAGAACACATCTTTTAATATCTAATGCGAGATTATTAATCTTTAATGATCCTTGTTTCTTGTTAATAAATATTTCTTATTATTAACATTGCAATGATAATATTAAAGTAGATGTTAAGTTTTTATAAAATCAGAATCACTTAAAAACTAAGAAATGCTATGTTTGGAAATTCCAAACAAATTATTTATTTTCTGATAACAATAGTTTCTTCCGCCGTATTCTAAAAAATTATTAGTTTACATTTAAAAGCTAAATCTTTAACTAGTAAAAAACTGTTCTCTCAGTGTACAGGCACTTTTTTACGAGGAATTTAATAATGAAGTTAACTATTTTTTCAGTTATTTGTTTGGCCGTAATAAGATAAACTTGTATTTTTTTTAATGGAAATCATAGGCAGCTATGGCATTTTTGAAAAGCTTATTTTTTCTGATCAAAAAAATATATATTTGTAACAGAATATTTTTTTATAACTATACTTAAAAAGTGAAATACATATTTTGTGTGATAACAGTTGGCGATGAAAAAACTATTTCACTCCAAATGTGTAAATAATAATCAATAAGAGTTTTGTGAACTGTAAAATAGATGAAAAAATATATAAGATTATAAAGATTTAAAAAATATGATACGGTAGAAGCAATGAACAAATATCAGAGCGCCTCAGAACAAAATTATTACATATTTTTAAAAAATCCAAAAATAGGAAAAACAAATGTGTCAACAGTCAACACAATTAGAAAAAACATTATTTTGATGATCTAATGGAGGTAGGATAACGTTTCACATAGACGGAATTTGGGTATTTGAATAGCCATATCGTCATTTTTGTGTCATATAAAATAAATTTTATTGAAGAATTAAAGCGGCTTTTTTTTCCAACACTCTATGTATCACTAGAAGTTGCAATGGTAATGTTAGCTTGTTTAAAAACAAAGAAATGTTATTAGTCGCCAATAAGTTGATTTACGAATTATTTTGCATTTTTTTTTATTAGTTAATGCTTAGAAAACTCTTTAATTAGTGACACTTGTTGAATAATAAATATAGTTTAAATCCTTTTAGTTGAAGATGCAACATTTTTTCATAGTCAACTGCGAACAAAAATCAAAGATAATTTTTTGCTAAAAATGTATTCTAATAATTTGTTACAAATATACATTTTTTAGATAAGAAAAAAACAAGCTTTTTAAAAATGACATAGCCATCTATGATTCCTATTTAAAAAAATACAAGTTTATCTTATTACGGCTAAACAAACAACTGAAAAAAATTGTTAACTACATTATTAAATTCTACGTAAAAAAGTGTTTGTATAATGTCTTTATTTCAAATCTGTGCCTTCTATAATAACGAAGATATGAATTTTTTTCGATTTCGCTAAGATGTTAATTTTTGTCTATAAGTCGAAAACAAAAGACGATAGCGGGAATGCGGTTTTAACCAATATTATTTTCTCAAAAAATAAGCCCCAGAATGTATTACTCGTTTTTGGCTAAACCTCTTAGTTTCGGAGATTTCCTATTCGGACATCCAAAATTCAGCACCCTGTACAGAGTGCATGAGTCTCAAAAAGTTCTTTCATTGTCATGGGCCGTGCACCCATTGAAATACACTGTTATTTATAACTTGCTTAAGATAAAATAGTAATAATAAAAACTCTTAATAAATATTTTACCTATTATTTTAAATTTCGTATTTCCTCTAATCTTTTTTAGTAACGTTGCATTCTTTAAAATCACTTTTAGTGTCAAAGATGTCTTAAATTTTAAATTTTTCTATTTTCCCCTTTGAGAAAGTAGAACAAATCCATCGTTTATGTTGTTATTCTACTTTGTTTTTCGATTTCTCAAATTAATTCTAATTTTGAATTTTCAGTAAAAAACTTTTTG